TTCTCCCTTCTGGAGGGTGGCTACTTTTGTTCCCCATGGTCCCTGTGTGTGTTGTAAAGTAGTCACCTCTCCATGCTCACTTCTGTGATGGACTGCAATCTCAATACAAATTAATAAACTAAATGTGGGATTGTAGTCCATCACTGGAACAAAAGTAGTATCCCTCCAGAAGGAAGGACAATGTCAGCGCCAATTTAGAGATTATTTAAGCATCTGCCTTGGAGTGATGCACAAATAAGGTACAGCATTGTTAATAGTTTTAACTCCTGAGTTTAGTGTCACTTTAAGAAAAAATGTAATACTTAATATTGGGGCTTCTTTGTCCACAGATGTATGCATTTGTTTTCTTTTAATAGGCTTTTTCCTGTAATTTCACCTATTGATCCTGGCAATAACATACGTTCTGCCCTGGGGTGACGATGCAAACTCACAGTACTGTATCTAGTCACCTTAGGACAGGAGAACAATAACTGATAAGACTGTAGTACAGGCAGAGTACAGGAGTTATCAACTACATTGATTTCTGTCAGGTTCAATGGGTTCCATGGTTCTCCTGTTTGAGGGTTGGTTATGAATTTTATTACCACATCTTTAAAAAAAGTAATTGTCAAGGCTACCCTTTGGTCAAGTGGTCAAGGCCCTTAATGGGTTGTAGCTCCATTGCTTAAGCATACTTTGAAACCAGTGTTTGTCTTTGGTCTTGGTATGCATATTGCACAGTGTACTCAATAGATTGCATATCTGAAAACAAGGAAAGCCGCCATTCTCAACCAGGGTTCTGTGGAATCCTAGGGTTCCTCCAGAAGTTGCTGGGGGTTCTTTGAGCAGTGCCTGATTGTCCTGCCATCTGATGGTGCCTGCATAGTTCTTGGGGAAAAAAGCCACTTGGTAGAGCTAGCAGCATGGCACCAAATATCTTATAGTTAACTGTAAGAGTAGCATTCTAACCACTACTGACCACCAAAGCATCATTCTTTCTACTAATCCACAATGATTTTGTTTTAGCAGAGGTTCCCCCAAGACCTGCTAATTATTTTATGGTTTTCTTTGGTGATACTGATTGATTTGGAGTTATTTAGTTCCACAGCCTCTGAAGCAGTATGAGGCCAGCACTCAGAGAAGTCAACCACATTTTGACACACATAGCTTGGATTTGGCAGCTGTAAACTGGACCGGACAGCTGGAACATAGGACAGAATGGGACTACCGTAGACATCATATTAGTCTCTGTGCGTTCTGAACTACCTGGCCAAAAAAGTCACGCACTCTAATATTTCATGGGACCGCCTGCAGCTTTGATTACGTCATGCATTCGACATGGCATCGTATCGATAAGTTTATGCATTGTCACAGCATTTATTTCCATCTAAAGTTGCATTAATTTTTCACCAAGATCTTCTAGTAATGATGGAAGAGTCGGACCACTGCATAAAGTCTATTCCAGCACATCCCAAAGATTCTCAATGGGGTTAAGGGCTGGACTCTGTGGCAGCCAATCCATGTATGAAAATGATGTCTCATGCTCCCTGAACCTTCCTTTCCCAATTTGAGCCAGATGAATCCTGGCATTGTCATCTTGAAATATGCCCGATGTGCCATCAGGGAAGACAAAATTCATTGATGGAAAAACCTAGTCATTCTGTATATTCAGGGACATAACGTTGCTAAGCAAAGACTAATTATCCAATGGAAGGCTCTTACCTATTTGCTTAGCTAAACCCAGGTGGTTATTTTTTTTGGCCAGGCAGTGTATATCTAAAGCCCAGTTTTGTATCTTAGTTTTGGATAGAGTGATAAGTGGTTAACACTCCTCTTGGCAGTGTGTATACTCGCTGGAGAGATTCAAAATTGGTTTGCCCTGATGACTGTTGTTACTGTGACAGAAAATTATGGGAAGTTCAGTATTTTACAGTTGTCATCAGAGCATGAGGTGAGGGGAAACCTTTCAATTGGGACACCTGTTCTGGTGACAACTGTCAAGGAGTGGGATGTTCCCTCACTTTGGAGACTTGTAACTTGTTACTCTGGGGCAGGAATTTAAAGGAAATTTCCCCAATAGAACATAGACAGCAAAGAAGAACTTTGGGCAATTTTTTTATTAACCCTTGCAGTGGGGCCACCCCCATAACTGCACTTTCTGGTCCATGTGCAGGCCGGGAAGATTTTGCATTTCAGTGAGCAATATCTTTCAGAATAGGGGAACAGGTACTAAACCAAAGCAGTTTTTTTTTAAATGTACCTGTTCATTAAAGATTAATGTCCCCCAAAACAGATTTCTCATTTGTGGGTGGATAAAAGCTTATGAAGAAAGCTACTTATGTTTCTGACCTGTATGTTATTTATACATTTCTATTGAGAATTCAGTATAGTGGATTTTTTATAGAACGTATCTGCCCTTTTTCCTCTTAAGGATTCTCTATAGGAATATACTGTACAGGAAACTCTCTCAGATCAGTTACAACAGTAACTTAGCTAAAAAGTTTAACTTAGCCTGCCACAGCTATTTTGTGGATAAGAAGTTCTTTGAGCTATGACCCTAAATAGCACTGAAGACCCAAAATGGAATCAAACTGCCTGCTCTACCTAAAACGTCTGCATTTGGTTGAATTGCTGTTTAATGTAGGCAGGATTAAATCATTAAAAAATTGAGAAAAAGGAAGCAAAGAAAACAACTATTATAAATGCTTATAAAAGTAAGCGTAATGAAAAATACACATAATAAAATTATGTAGATTGTGTAACCCAAGAATAGTCCCGGTTTGCAGTTTTAAACTAACCTAGTTTATCACTGATGTAAACTGCGGTACATGGGAGCAATCTGAAAAGGGCTTTCATCTAGTGTGATCACATGATGCTGAGCTTTTCATTACTCTGCCATCAGACACAATGTATACAGCATTTCTGCACTGGTGTATCTACTGTACTGTACTGAGGGATTCTTCTCTTTTCTGTGACTGGCAGTACCAAGGCACCACAACATTTGTTAGAGAGTCAACAATTATGGATTATAACATTGTTGTTTAATATGAGTTAATCAAACTGCTGATGAGTTTTTACATGTAGTAGCTGCCACTTAGCAATGGCAGAGAAATGGCTCTTTCTGGCTCTGTTAATCCAGATCAGCCTGGGAATTCTAAGAACAAGGATGAGATTGACCCCAAACAACGACTGAATGGGTCGCCCAAACAACACAACACCTGGACTGAGGTTGGTGAGTAACTTACTCTTTATGGTCTCTATTTTATACTGAAACAACGTGTACAATGATTAGAATTTTAATGACAAAAAAACTTGTTTTATCGCACTTTGCTGGGTAAAATCTAATCAATTTAAGGAGTAAATATTTCTTCACATCTGTATTTAGATCCTTTTTATATTAGCCTTTATTTTATAAACCTAGCTCTATATCATTATATCAATCAGTATTGTCATTTTTGGACACTTTTGGAAGTGTAAAAATCACTGTTTGAAGCAAATGTAAGTTCATTGAAGAAAATAGTTCTTATAAAGACAAGAACTTTATTTAACTAGGATTTATGATATATAAAATTCAGCATCTGATAGTAACCAATCTGAAATCGTGTTACTGGTATTAGATTGTTAAAATATGTATTTTCAGTGATTGCTGTACTTAGCACATTGGGTTTTGCCTTATTTTGCCCTAATAAACAAAGCACTAACATATTTATTTAGAGCTTTTAATTTTTAAATGCAAATTCTTCAATGCAGATTCTTATTGGACATGGTTACGAATTTGTAAAAATTTCTCCAGCCCCCTTCAATCCAGTAAACTGTGACCCTCCCTTTTTTTAAAAATAATGTAAATCTGCGCCTTTTGGAAAAAACCCCCATTTCATTTTGAGTGTGTCTTAATGTTTGTAATATAGGGGGTGTGGCGCTTATACTACCTTATCCAGTCAGTCATTCAGTCCAGGCTGGTGAAAATCTAACTCTGGGCTACCAGTTCACTAACATCCTTTAGACTTGAACGGGAAACACTGGTACTGCAGGTGCAATGTCCTGTTCAAGCCTAAGGGAGTGGTTGATACCCAAGAATGGGCAGCTCACCACTAAGTTTTTACCTGCTGGGCTGAAGGTGGTGCAGAAGGCCACAGTCGACAGAGCAGGTGGGTTAGAACATTATTACATTGCGCAAGGGGTGGGGGTGCTACAGTTTACAGTATTAAGGGCGTTGGTGGGGCTGGGGGGATTTTTACAAACTCACAAACTTGGCCTTCAAGTACACACACAAATAGAATTCATAAGTTAGACCAGTACAAGATGGATTTTGATTGGTTGCTTTGGGATACTGCACTTAGGATTTGACTATTAAAAATAAAGATCTCGGTACTGAATGATTGATAATATGTGACAGGTGTTTTATTTGCCAAATTTTGTATGGTTACATCGTGATTCATGATTTTTGATGTGTATAAGTGGTAAACAAAGAATAAAATAATAGCCTTATGGTGAAATAAGCTTATTTGTAAATTGCTGTATGAAATTGCTTTAAAACTATTATGTAAACATATAGGCGATTCAGATAATGTTTTTGTGAACTCATGAATAAAGAATTGTGAATGAGAAGTTTTTGAATGTACATTTCCTGTACAAGCAGCTTTGATTTAAATAATAGTCAAGAGATGAAAGTCTGTGCTGAAAGCTTTCTAAGAATGTAAAAAAAAAAAGTGATTGTTTGTCCCCCCAAATATATCAGACTGTTGTACTCACCTTAGAATTCTGTTAGCTTTTCTGCTGACTGGGTTTGTTGTGTATTTTAGAGCTGACCACATGTACTATGCTTTGTTTTGCCCGTTTTTGTCTGGAGAGTGAAAATTGATTGGGGCCTAGAGATAAAAGAGAAATGTGCAGTGACAAGAGTTTTTTTACAGCAAGGGTCATGAGAGAGCAATAACAGTGTACGAGGTCCAGTGATAGCAAATTGGCAATGAGAGACATGAATTACTCCAGATTTTCACCAAGATAACATTTTGCAAGAGATGTCTTTAAATTATATCAAGAACTTCTATGAAGGATGTGTGAGTATCCAGAAAGGTGTTAACATTCTTATAAATGCATAATACCAAAGGTATGCATCATTTCAACAATATCTGGTATTATTTCATGGTAACAGATACTTTAATTACTTCTGGAAAACTTGATATGTAGTAAGATTATTTTTTATAATCATTGCAAGCACTTTAGCACTCTCTACGTCTCTAAAAGACTTTCCTGGGAGGAGGTAAAAGAGTCAGATAGCACAGCTCTTTGGTTTTGGCTGTTGTATTAATGTCCATTTGTTAGGTTTTTGCTCTAGTTAAGTAAATTGCTTGATTTCTGTATGTTAAAGCTTGCAGTACAATTCCAAAATCAGAAAATGCCCCCCTCAGTTATTTATTTGCTGTCGTGTATCGGGAGAATTCTATAATCTCTATATTCGTTAACAAAGGGCAAATCTTTGTACTGTTTTCCTGCTGACCTTTCTATGATATAACACAATGGGCAATGGAGGTCTCGAGAGCTGGGTTGGCTAGAAAAGCATTCTGTTGTATTTTTTTGTTGTATTTTTTTTAGTGATGACTGTAGTGTCTTTTTTGAGGCAGTTGTGTGCTCAATGTAGTCTGTGTGTGGGTCTTTTTATGTTTGTGCTGTAATTGCTCTGCAAAGAAGAAAACAGAAATAATATGTGATCAATGAGGAATGTATGTAAGTTATATTAATTTAAATAAATATTACAGTAGCAAATGTGCATTTAGCAAACGTGCCCTAATTGTCAAATGATAGCTCATAAAATTTATATGTTTTTGTTTATTCTTAAAGCTCAGACCTCCAACGGTGATTGGTCAGTTCCATACCCTTTTCTTTGGTTCTGTACGAATGTTTTTCCTTGGTGTCCTGGGTTTTGCTGTTTACGGAAATGAGGCCTTACATTTCAGCTGTGAACCTGACAAAAGGGAGGTGAACCTCTTCTGTTATAACCAGTTTCGACCGATAACTCCTCAGGTGAGGCAAAAATGAAATACGTTTCAAGAAACTGATAGGACGTAACTACCATTTGAAAACGTAATGGACTATTATTGTATGTGGCATTAACAATATTCTGTTTTTCTTGGTAAACATTTCTACAACAATCCAGTAAATTTGGTGTTTACCCCCTTGCTATCATATATGTTCTCTTTATTAAGGTAAGGTGGTCATAAAGATTTGTTTTTCTAGAACATTGCTCGGGTGCGTACGTACTGTACTGTATAGCCAAAACTAATATCTATCTATATATATATA